AGTCCGGACTGACAAGTGCGGCGCTTTATGACTTGAACTTTATCTGTTCTATTGGAGTGCAGTCTGCAGTTCTTATCAGCGCTTATCTGTGCCTGGCCATGTCCCAGTCGAAGCCAGGCGGAAGCAACAACGCGTTGACAACTTCCTTTGGACACACATGTGGACTTTAATTGCCGTGACATTAAAACGAAAATGTTTAGACGAGCTGCGGCCCAAACAGGTTCGGGCCGAACCACGTCTTACCTTTGGCCCCGGCCGAAAGGCATGAATGAAAATGTTAAAAGTAAAAAAAAGAAGTAAATATATTAACACGCGAACACTTTAAGCAATGACAATTGTAGAGCTCGGGTTTCCGAGAATTTGGGCAAAGTTGAGTTAAGTGACTTAATGAATGAATGAACCAGTCTGCAGCTCTGCTTCTTCTGCTCGTTTGCTGAAATTGAATGAATTTAAATATCTTACGCTTAGCTTGTGCAGCAACAAGCAACAATCGACAATCGACAGTCGACAGTCGGCAATCGGCAATCACATCAATGACATCATCTGCCCGCGCCGCGAGACTAAGCAGAACCCAAACTCGAGCATTGGCCGCGCATTGAGGTCAAAAGTGTAAAATAAACTGAACAGACAGCAAATTTAAACCAAACATTAACAAACTGCCAGCCATTGCGTATACAGAGTTAAGATTTCCTCCTTCTTTTCCGTTCAGCTTTTTTAGCAGTCCGATTCTGGCCGAGCGAGTTTTTGAGTGCGTGTGAAATCGATGGACGAACGCACTCGCATCGTTAATTTTAATTGAAACTAATTAACGCACATATAAAAATAAAGTAAAACAATATCAAATAAAATAGACAATGCGGCGAACTGGGCGACCGAACTGACGACTTGTCTACGCTTCTGGACTCTGACATAATAAGAAGAACTCAACAGAAATGCTCAAGTCTCAAAATAAGTTTCAGCAGGAGACAATAAGGTTTATATATATATGCAACGATCTTATTCTTATTCTTAGAGGTGAGGCATATATAAATATATTTCAATCTTTTTCATATTCTTATAGAATATATATATACTTCGATCTTATTCTTGTGAAAAAATTACCAATATATAATAAAGATGCCAAACTCCAAACTAGTTTCAGTTCGATCCTTCATTATGAACTACAACTTATGAACATCGGACCATCATATCCTAAAGATACAATAGGCGCGATAGGTAGAAAATATTAAATAATTACTTTTAAGATAAATATGAGCTAATTATTATAAACAATCTCATTAATGATAGCCCGAAAGTTAAGTTAAGCTAAAAACAAAATATATACAATGTATCAAATAAGAAAGTCAAGACAAATATGCATTTTCTGCAAAAGTTGAGCCGGCGACTTCGCGCTTGTTAGTCCAATGCTCAGGAACCTAAGCAACGCAGGCTCTTGGTGTCGCGCTGGCAAAGCACTTGGAGCTGTAAGCTGCTCTTAAATTATAAACATTTCAGCCCCTTCAATATGGATATCCATTCGATCCGGCTTGAGTTTTAATAAAGCTGAGCTCATTTCAATCCATTGGGCATTAGACTGTTTGGAAAACTCTTAAGCTGCACTTGTAAATAGTTGCCGTACAATCGATCAATTAAAAATTGTTTAGCTTTGAGCTCAATTGATAACCCTGTCCAAAGTAGAAAACAGTTGCCCAGCAAATAGAGCAGAGCAATTAAATTTAAGTGAAATGTCCAACATAATTAATGGATTAAGTTCAAATTGATTTGGAGCAAAGCAAAAGAGTTAATGACGCACAACTCAAATTGGGAAAAAGAGTTGAGAAAAAACTGCGACAACTTGTGCCAGAAAAGCGCCAAATTTGTTTGTTTAAACAAAAGAGATGAACATCAACAATTTATCAAGTTTGCAATTCGAATTTAATGCAGCAAATGTTGTGGAACATTTGTGAATTTCTGTTTTGAACAGATACAATTTGACGGATACGCTTTGGCAGATTAGCCAAGCCTTAATTAGAGTGAAGCACTTAAATATTGAATGCGAAATTGGGCGGCTAATTAGCAATAAAAAATCGCAAACAAAACAAATATGAAGGTAGAAAAAAACCAACAATAACCGGATATCTTAAATCAAAATCGTATAAAAAATGGATTCAGTCTTAAATCTAGGAACCTGTAAAAGTTATGACAAGTAATAAAATCTGTGCACAAAACTTTATTAAGTATCTTTTCTCATTCGGGCGAGGGATTCGTTATTTGGTGTGGATTATTTTTGGTTTATCTCGTGCCTGGCAGCCAAACATTGCTTAAGCCCGAGCATAGTTTATGAAACTGTTGGAAAGTTGCCTCACGTTTTGGCTTCTATTTGCACTTTTCTATTATCTACACACACACACACACACAGAGAGAGAGAGACAGAAAGTTTGCTCTAATTTCAGTTGCTTGCGAGTTGCTTAAATATTTAGTAACAAGCTCGTCGCCTACAAGCTAAAGATACAGATACAGATACAGCTAGAGATATGATTAGATACGACTTCCTGTTTGCGTTTCAGCATTGTTCTGAGCACATTCGGAGTATGTAACGTGTTAATGTTAATGGGCCGTGTTTACGCGATGGGCCAAAAAGCTAAAACTATTTCCAGCTCACATGTATCTGGGCCTTTATGTTTGCTATTATTGCCTTGTGGTTATCCAACAGTATCTTTGGCTGTGTTTATTCTGTACTTACAGCTCAATTAGCAGTCGCATAGCGCGCGCAATTAAAATGAAATTGAATTTTATGTGCGTTGCGCCCAAGTGCGTAGCCGGGCTTACATACCAAATAGTAAACGGGCAGGCACATTTACAGATACAGATACAGACACAGATACGTAGATACATATTGTGTGTACTCATAAATAGCTGAAATACATTTATCGTATGCATGACACAGACATCAGATTAGCATCACAAACAGCACATAAACGTAAAAGTAACACACAAACAGTTGAAGAGCATACAACAAGAAGAAAAAAAAGAAGGCACAAGTCGGGGCAGAAGTTGAACTATGTAAACAGTAAATAGACGACAGGCCGGGCCGGGAGTAGGGGCAGGGGCCGTAGCTATAGACCGAATGAGAAGTTCGGCATACACTTAAGCGAGCCATTAAGAGCAACGACCACAGTAATAGATACAGATACACGGTAACTGAGATACATAGATACACCTGGCTAGACATAAAGTGTTCGTGCCGGAGGCGCTGCTTTTGGCAGCTCAAATTGGCGCTTGCAGATACGTAGATACATAGACATACACAGATACATAGATACATAGTCTCAAATTAAGATTCCACAAAAGCCAAACGCTAATAACAACTAACAAAGTCAAAGTCTGTGAAGTCGGGTCCATTGAGCGAGCGCTCATGTGGATAAATCTTTAGAGAAGTCAGTCGACAGTTGGCTGCTGCCGCGATGCGGGCGTTTGCTGCCATGTATCTTGCAGATACTTTTTTACTTGTGTTTATTTGTTAACTACCTGCGTGTGAGAAAAAAAACTCTGCTCAGCAGGCAGGTAACAATACACGGAACTGCAACATCATGCCACACACACATAGAAAGAGAGAGAGAGCGAGAGACATGCACACAAGCGTCTAAATGTATCTGAGTATCTATGGAGCTGCTGCTGCTGCTGCCCCGTAATTGTGCGTAAATGTGTAAATACCAAGTCAAGGTCGGTTAATCAATAATAATTATTTTTCACTCAATTACGCGCCGCGCCGCGCTGCGTGAGCTGCTTTAGTTTGTTATTTGTGGCTCGCATTCTTCAGACATACGCATAGATACATGACTAGAGCTATAGATACATTTATGCTTAGCTACGCTTTGGTTTATTTATCTCATTGTGTTTCTTTTTTTTTGCTGGCCATTTCGTTATCGCTGTTGTTTGGCTTAGCGCCGAGCAACATTCATGTGTGAAATATGCATAAACAAAATATGCCAAGCGAGATTTCGAGTATCTCATGGATGTAAATATACAAATGCTGTGCTTCGTATGTAGCCTTCACACAGTTAGATGCGTGCCACTTGATATGCCCGAAACCAGAATAACAAATGATGATGCCGACATCAAGATACAGTCGCAGCAGCAGCAGCAGCAGCAACTGCCACAGTCATAGCTAAAACTAAAGATACAGCGACGTATACAGATAAAGATATAGATACATTATTCTATAATGAACCTGCAGCGTGGGCTGCTCTTGGGAAAAGCTTCCAGGCCGGGCAACTTTTCGAGGTGCCGAGCATATGCCCAATACGCTTCTAATTGCGGACGCGGCACTTGCTCAGGGTTCGCCTCCGGGACGGATGAACGCCGCCTGGCCGCCCGCTCGAGTGACAGGCGGCTGCCCACTTGAGCGTCGAAGTCGTCCCAATGAATTTGCATTGAGTTACAGCTGCGCCCGCCCCTTAGGCACAATTGGGCGAGAAGCGTCAAGTAAGTTAAGTAGATATGCCCCAAACTTTGACTGCAAGTGATTTACTCGACTTGAGCTGGCGAAAAATGAGGGTATATTGGGCCAGTGTTAAGAGAAGGCGCTCGTGAATGCATTTAATAGAAGCTCAGTATAAAGTTGTGGCTTAAATAAAATATATATAGAGTATATACGCTGTCTGCTAACTGGTTAGTCAGCCAACAAGATAGACAAGATAAAACAAGGTAGATGAAATGTCTAGGTGAGCCAGTCAGTAGGGCAAAGGAACAACGAGGATTCAGACTAGGCTAGTGTAGGGATGTAGTATTATCTCCTTCTTTAACAGTTTCTATCTACTTTACTATACTATTCTATACTTTCTAACTAAAATAAGCCTTAGCTGCCTTGATAAATAGATAGATTTACCAACTTTCGCACTGCGAAAAATTTCAAAACTCAACTATATCTAAAGGTGTATATGCAGCCTCTTGAGTTGACAGCCAGGTTTAGCTTTGTGCGTATCTCATGGCTAACTGAGCTGTTGGCTAGTTGCACCTACCTTTTTCATTGTAAACTCCACTCGACCTGATGTCGATCGATTCGAAGTAACCCTTGACCGCCTCGCACTGCGCTGTATCCTTGGCGCGCGAGTCGCGCTGCAGTCGGCGTCGGTGGTGCGTTGCGGCGCTGTGTTGATGCTGATGCTGCGGCTGGTGCTGGTGGTGCAGATTCGCGCTAAAGTCGTCGTCGCTGGCAGCCACAATGTCTGTGTGAGCCAAGTGCTTGGCCATGGCCAGGCTGTGGCTGCAGAGCAGCGCGACAAGCAGCAGCTTGTGCAAGAGGCAGAGGCTGCCGGCCATGTTCATGTGGCAAATAGTTGCTGGGCTTATGCTTATGCGAAAAATGCGAACTGGACACCTGAGAACGGCACCTGAGAGCGGCTTGTGCGTATCTATGTGTGTGTGTGTTTGTGTGTATGTTGTGTGTGTGTGTGTGTGGACCTTTAGGATTTTGGGCAGCTCTGCTGCTGCATATTGCACTAAACAGCTGTTCCGACACAAATACACTCACACCCACGCACGCAGGAACACACACAATGAGAGCGACAGAGAGAGCGCGCGAAGCAAAGAGAGCGGCACACACACACAGTTAAACTTTTTGCACTTGCCGGTTAGGCCGAAACACACACACAAACAAAATACACAGAGAGTGGTGTTTGCCTGTTGTTGCTATTGCTTTTGTTGTTGTTGCCTCTCAGGCGCTGACGTCGCAAAAAAGTGTGCAAAAAACACGCGTATTTTTGTTGTCGTTGTTGCAGTTGCGATTGTTTTTTTGTTATTGTTGCGCTTTGTTTAAACTGAAATACACGCACGTCACACTTTCAAATTTCGATTTCGCTCTTCCTCTCTATCTTTGCTTTCTTGACTTTTTTTTGCCAGATTTTTTAAAGAATTTTCGAAATGCGCCTACGATTCTTTATGACATAATCGCAATTAACCCAATCTACATACACACATGTATATTTATATATGTGCAATGGACATTGATTCGTTATCATGAGCAACAGTTTAAAGTTTCCGATAATGCACACTTGGACATATAATTCGATTCCTTTTATTCACAGCTGAGTTATATGCGCCACATTTGCTTTTATTTCTGTTATTTTTGCGAATTTTTAATGCATTTGCTTTTGGTTGCCGCTGCGAGAATTGATTTTCATTTTTTTGGGGGGAGATTTTTAATTGATTTGCATTTGCACGCGTTTTAATTGCACTCGCGTTGGCGGCGGCTCTTGGCCAAGAATATATTCGAAATACGCTAAGACGTGCCTGCGATTACGATTGCGTCTCTTTCAGATTTAAGGAAACGCTGTTAGCGCAGCGAGACGTTTGCACACGACGACGGTTCGTTCACAACTAACTGTATCTTTCACAGTTCACAGATACAATGCAAGCTCACCAGCCAGTCGCGCGCGCTCACGCTCTCTTTCACGCACACTTGCGTGCCGCGGCTCTCTTTGCACTTGAGCCTTTTGCGGGCATGAGAACTTGAATTGCAGAGCACCAACAGCTGAACCATGGCGATCCAGACACTTGCCAAGATCGTGAGGCTATTATCAAATATTTGCTTTATTAATAAATACAATTTATTAATAAATAATTAAATAATAAAATATAAATAAAACAGACCAATATGTTGTTGTTGTTGGTGGTTGGTTGAGCAAATGTTGTTGCTTCTTTGCGCGTTGAAGGCAACAACAGTTTGTAACGTGCACGTTTTGAATGCAGCATTACAGCTGTTATACTCAGAATGGCACTGTTGTGCTCTCTTAAACAAAGAGCGCGCTCTCTGCTGCTCAAACACAAGCACATGACGCTGTTAACGGACAGTGGTGCGAAATAGCGCGAGCGCGCATATTTATATATGATGTGAAAGGATTTGTTGAAAATAGGAAAAAAGTTAAGCAAAAATGTACTAAATTAATATTATCTTAAAACTTATGATAGACAATATGAATAAATTGAAGGAACAATGTTGAAAAGTGTCAGGCATAAAATGTATTAAATTAAGATTATCTTGTTTTAGTGCAGCAATTAAAATGTTCTGTGGAAGGAACTGCATAATTTTTTAAATTATTTAAAAAACGTTAGCCTTAAATTGAGTGTATTCGGGCTTCAAAGATATTTTAATTTTTTTTATATATTATATAAAAACTTAACTTCAAATAGAGTGTATTCGGGCCTACGAATTTTAATAGAATATTATTTTTTAATTGTTTAAAAATTCAAGCTTTAAATAAAGTGTATTCGGCTGAGTTCTTGAGTCAACAACAGATCCCACTTTAATGCCCGCGATTAGCATACAAATAAAAAACGTAAATTGATCTATGATAGACTACCAAAAGTCAATCTATAAAACAAGGTCCAACTCTTGTGCCCCGAGCTATTCGCTTTCATCGCAGCCGCACGGCATTTGCATTTGCATGCACTTAAATCAAGAAGCTTAATTGACAGTTGATTGATTTCAGAATATTCCCATTTATGGACTTAACGATTAGTTGAATGGGACAGTTCAGACTGTCAGATTTCGCTCGACCAAGCGCATTATATGGGCCAGGTAGCTGCGACACCTTTTTTGCGAAAACCTTTTGCGAAAGACCTTATCGTTAGCCAGATTATCTGATCAATCAGCTCAGAGAATTCCCTGGCCAATTTCTTTCAAATGAGAACCCGGCCCAGCACGCGAAAAGGTTTTTCTTTGTTTTATTTAGTTATTTACCGAGTTTTTTTTTCCCTGTTGGCCTGGCCCAAACAATGCACGACTTTTGGCCAGACTTTCACTCAACGCCGCAGGCGCTGGCCAAAGACAATCCGACTGTGGGCTAGTTACTCAGCACTTTGCGCTCGACAATCGTATCTATTGCTTCATTAACAAGAAACCCAAATATCAGAGCCAGAAAAAAGATATATATATATATATTTATATATATAGTATGCTTCACGGTGGTCAACAGCGGACGTCCAGCTGAGCCGCGGCAACGCCCACTTTGGCCTTGTTAGCCAAATTCGCCTAGATATCGCCTGGATATAGGTAAATACATATACATATATATATACACAAATATATACATATATTCAAATTAGCGCGCGATAAACAAAGGCAAACGTTTGCACATTCTAAAAAAGTATTCCTCGAATGAGTCATGCGAGCAGCGGAAACAGCTACAACAACAAAATATATATGTATGTATATATAAAAAAATCAAATAACAAGATTGAAAAGGTGAAGTCGAAAATTAAACACCAGCACATCGTTTAGATAAAGTTATAAATTATAATGTACGAACGATCAACAAGAGAGAGCGAGTGAGCGAGTGAGCGAGAGAGCGAGAGAGAGGCAACCCTTTTGGCAGAGGCGGGCCGTGGTTCCAGGTTCCAGGTTCCAGCTCGAGTCCAGCAACCCACACAAAAGCAGGTAAACGTTTACACAAGTCCAGGCCTTTTTTAGATGTGTGCGCGTGTGTCCGTGTGTGTGCGTGTGTGAAGAGCTGAAATTAAACGAATTTAGGCAAACGGCATCTATAAATTATGTTGCCTGGCGAAAAGTTTTTGATCTCTCGGCAATCTGAGAGCGCAGGCAAAGTTGGCTCGAGAATTTTATTGTTGTTGTTGTTGCTGTTTGTTCTTCATGTTTTTTGGAGCAACTCAAATTTCGTTTAAACGCTTGATTTAGTGCAGCAGCAAATATGGCCAATGTTGGGCGCATTCCACAAGCGACAGCGTTTTACACTTGAAATGCGCAGCATTTGAGCGAGCGAGACAGATAGAGCGAGCGAGCGAGAGAGAGCGGAACCGAGTGCCTCTTTTATCCTGCGCCAAGAACCGAGCCCAAGACTGGACCCCAAAACACGTTGGTGGCATTTTGTGTGTGCGCCGCCGTCGCCGCCGACGTCGCTGCCGCCGTCGTCGTCGACGTCTTCGACTGGTCCAACAGGTTCCAGCCTGACTGACACTACGCCATGGAGATTCTTCGGGCGGGCCCTGGCCCTGGCTTGACTTTGGCTGCGGCTGCTGCTGCTGCTGCTGCGGCTGTGGCATGCAGCATTTCTCGTTTCTGTTGGCGCGCTCGTTTTGCACATTTTTGAATTTTATTTTAATTTCTTTTTATTATAAGTATTTTACTTGCCGACTCTTCGGGCTGCCGCTGCTGGCCCCTAGACCCGGCCGCGCAGCGTCTTGGCTTTCCGTGCAACTTTTTAGGTTTTGTTTGATTTTTCATTCACCAAAAACTGGTTCGACGCTTGCAGTACTTCTGGCTGGGACTCTGGCTGAGACTGGAGCTGGAGCTGGGGCTGGAGCTGCGGCTGAAGACGCGAAGACATTGTTTGGTCTCAAGGAAGTTCTTGTTTGCCCGGTGTGTGCCCAGGAATGTGTGAAGTCATCGGGCAACAGACACACAAGCACACAGACACACGCAGACTCTTCCATTTGAATGCCACAATGCTGAGCTCTTACATTTTTAAAGACCTGGGCGGCACTTGCAGCACACAGACCGACTGCATCCGAGTCCGAGTCCGAGTCCGAGGCTGGGGCCGCCTTGAATTCCGGCCCGCACTTTGAGGGCGTCTCGTTTTTCCAGCCAAACGGAAAATCAGTCAAACGCAACAGACATCGATAGCTCTACATCACATTGCAACAATCAATGCCGATCTACACTGCGCGAAAGAAACAAATGACCGCCACAAGGTGCAACTGCTGCAGAGAGAGAGAGAGAGAGAGAGAGAGGGGGGGGGGGGGGGGGGGGTACTGTGTAATTCTATTGCATTGCAGGATATTGGTTCTTTACGCTTGATTTGGCACATTGTCAGCTGCCCACCTGCCCGCCCGCCCACCTGTCCATGGCCAAGGGCATATCAAAAGTGGTCCATCGTCTCTTTTTGTCTGACAGCTACTTGTCAATGGCCGTGATGAGTGAGCGCCGCACAAGCCCGACCTGCCCCTGCCCCTGCCCCTGCCCCGCCATAGACATAGACTCGTTTGTGAAAGGGACTCGACCTGGGCTTGGCTTTGGCAACCTGACAACGTGCCATTGACAGATTTCAATAAAACGAAAGAAAACAAGAAAAGGAAAAGCTGCGTATGAATGAAATCGATTTGTTGCCTAGACTAGCCCCCAGGCGGGCGTGGCATATGCCACACATCATTAAAAACATGCTAAATACTATATTTTATTTAGTCCAGTTTTAAGTTTTAACGAGCTGCGGGGCCACTTTTGATTGCAGTTGATCGGCAGCCGCACCATGACTAAGCGCATTTGCTTGCCCCTTGGCAACAGCGCGCAACGCCAAGAACTTACCCCATCGATATATATATCAATATATATATCAATATATATATATTTACAGAAATATGCCTCGGCCTGTGTCCAGCGGTTGGCTGCAATCCGGGCCTTGGCCAAGGTAGAAATTAAGCGTCCAACCGCGAGTTTACACATCATCATCATTATTGTTGCCGTTGCCGCAGCCGTTGCCTTTGCCTTTGCCGTGGCAGCGACTGTTGTCGTGCTGCACATCCTGCAGCTCGCAGACGTGGCTGCAACGTGTGCGAATGTGTTGCACAATAAATAAAAATATTTATACATGAAACCCTAAATAAAGCATGAGCGACAAAGATGCGAACCAACTCGTCGCCGTCGTCGCCGTTGGCCGCTTGCCGCATGCCGGTTGCAAGTTGCAAGTTGCCGGTTGCCGGTTGCCAGTTGCCAGTTGCCGGTTGCTATCGTGGCCGCCGGCTCCGGCTCCGGCTCCCAGGCCAAGTGGCAAAAATAATGTCGTGGCATCTGCATCTGTGCAGCCAGCAGCTTTTGCCTACACGAATTTCAAAATTGTCGTTTGCCAATGCCAATTTTTTTTTTATGTGTCCTTTTTTAATGCCCTTCCAGGGTGGAACTGCAAAGAGAAATGCAATAAAGTTTTTTTTAGCAAATATTCAAACACTTTATAGTTACAATTTTTATACCATTTTTTAAAGACTTCAAAAATGAAAATTATTAAAATTTTATAGAAATTATTTAAAAACTTTTTATAGAATTCCAAAAAAGTCATGAACGAAAGTTTTCTAGAAATTATTTAAATACTTTTTAACTAAAGTATTTAAGATTTCAGAAAATATTTAAATATTTTACAAATAATTAAAATACGTTTTATTTTAATTGTTTACTTAAATATTTCTACGAAAATAATGTATTAAAGTTTTCTAGAAATTATTTTATTTTTATTTTTGTTTTAATTATTTACCCGATTGAATGCACTTCCAGCAAAATCAATATTTTAAGGCATCTAGTAAGCCATATTAAAATTTAACTATCGAAATTATTTAACTAATTTTTTAAATAAAATTTAATTAACTTAATTTCCTTGCTTGTTATTTTTTCATAATTATTTTTATAATATATATTTTAATAAATTTATTAATATTTAATATTATTATACTTTTCTCATTATCTTAGGCATTAGCATCTGGCACGCGGCATATGTTATGAAATATATTATATAAGATAGATAGAGATCTATATAAAAGAAATACCTATGCTACTCTAAAGTCTAACTTCACTGAACAAGGCAAAAACTGTAGGTTCTTATCTAGTTCTCATCCAATTTCCCAGAATTCTCATTCATCTTTAAAGTATTCAAAGCAGCTTCCACACACGGACGTGGGCTCAGGCCAAGGAAGAGGCAACTTTGGGGCGCCTCGTTAACATTCCATAACTCAGCTTGGATACAAGCTTATAGAAGTATTTCCGTTCCGACTCCTAAAATGAAGTAAAAGAAACCTTTCTCACATTCTTTACATTTTTAGAATTATTTTTTAGCTGAAATTCTCAACGTTCTTGTCTTTTAATTAAAAATATTCTTTTCTAATATTTACTTTTAATTATCTATAATAAATGAAACAAATAAAGGGTATTTGATTTTCGCCATATGCCCATTCGCTTTGCATTTCAGTTGTTTTTGTTTGGGTTCTTTTTTTTTTAGGTTTTTTGGAATACCTTTTGTATCGGCTGTGGCTCTTGTGTATGCCTCGTCATCATTGTCAGGCGTCGCAGCCCAGCATCAAGAATCAAGATCAAAGCAAAGCCCACTAACTACATCAGGAGATGCTGCCGCTGTGCCTCTCACTGAGGCTGACGCCGAGGCAGAGGAGGCTGTGGCTCAGGAGCTGCCGCTGCCACAGCCACAGCCACAGCCGCAGCCGCTGCCGCTGCCGTGACTGCCTCCGTTGTGGTTTCCACTGCTGCAGTTGTTGTTGTTGTTGTTGTTGTTGTTGTCGCTGTTGCATAGTCAAAGTAAAATAAGAAATAAATCAGTAAATTGGATTGCTTTTTGCTGGGCTCGTTCGCTGATTTTCGCAATGGCAACTGCTGCAGTTGGACTTGGACTTGGACCTGGCCAGTTGGAGTCGGTTTTGGGCTCATGTTGTTGCATGCTGGAATTTCTATGCTTATCATTTTCTCGATCTCACCTGTTCAATTCATTATTTTCTATAAATAAACGACAGGCGACGGCAGTGGCAGCGGCAGCAGCAGCGACAGCGGCGGCAGCAATTTACATGGCTGCGCTCGCTTGCCACTTTTTGTGGCAGCCAGTGCAGAGTTGGCTGTAATTAAGTCAGTCGCATAACTGCAGCGAGTTGCGCTTCGAATTCGCATTCATTTTAATAACTAAACTCGCACATGCTGCCACCTGCCCCCTGCCCCTGCCCTTGCCCCTGCCCTTGCCCCTGCCCCAGCCTAGGGCCACAAAAGGTCAGTGGCGAGGCAGCAGCCTTTCTGAAATTCAATATGTGTCCTTTGATTTGGCCCCAGCTTCTGCTGCCGCGGTGGCCAATTTCGCGAATTCGTGCAACGCTTAGTTATGCCCGCGCTCACCAACATTGAGGCAGATCTGCGGATCTGCGGATCTCTGGATCTGTATCTGTATCTGTGCGCTGCGACGGCGGCTTCTTCTGTGGCACGGCATGGAATTTCGGTACAGAGCTTCGGTTTTTGGTTTTCTGTTTTGTTTTTTTTTTTTTGTTTGCATTTATTTCGCCAAGATGGTACCTAAATTTTTGCCAGTTCGCGTTCTTTTGCGGCATCTTGTTGCCTTTGTTGTTGTTGTTGTTGTTGCCCCTTTCGGTGCTCGCTGACATGCCACACAAATGTGGGCCTATGATAACATTGTCTTTGAGCTCGAGTTCGAGTTGGCGCAGCGCGTGAAAGTTGTCGTGCCAAAGGCCTCACAATGTTTATGTTGTACAGTGTTCGTGTGTGTGCGAGTGTGCGTGTGTGCGTGTTTGCGCTTAATGCACTTCACTTTCCAGGCGTGCGTTGTGAAAGCCCAAGCTGTAGGTAGGTCTCCCGGAGTGGTCCATACACAAAATTTCAATATCTTAACATTGTGATCCATTGTTTTATTTATGTTGAAATTCGCATTGTGCGCAGCTTATTTATACTCTACACAGTGGGGCAACTTGATTGTGAAAGAAAATATGTCACACATAATAAACTTCCAGAATTACAGTTTCCAGTTTTTATAGATTGTAGGTTCTTTGGACGGAAGTTGGAAAGCGTAGCACAATAATTCAAATTGGGGTCTTATATTGGAACTATCGAAAAATTTCATAAATGAATTTAATATTATTACTTAATTGGAACTATCAAAAAATTTTATTATTTAATTAAATTTATTAATATATTTATGAAAAAGCTCACTCTCTACAATTTTTAACAATTTTGCCATAACAACTGCTATTCATATGACGTGAGAGTATTTGATATTCGTCTTGCTTAACCAAGTTTTTTCTCTCACTCAATTTCTTATAAATTCCTTATCGATACGACCCCATTGGGAGCATACGCATATTGTTCTACCCCCATAAACATGCGCCTACACACATATACATACATACATATATGTACACACACACATATATTCGCACATACAATTTTAATTTTAATCTTTAAAATATTTTTCATTAGAATACATTTTTTACTTGCCAAAAACCACAAATATTTATTTAATTGCTTAATTTCTAAAATTGAAATAAATGTATTAAATCTAGAGCTCTGCCAGCCTGCAACGTGTTGTTCGGAATGTTTGCATGAGCTCGACTAAGACATAAACAAGTGAGTAAAAATAAGAAGAAGAAGAAGAAGAGGCAGTAGAAATTGTGAGCGTTTCCGTCTGTCGAAGCTGTCAAAAGTCGCCATAAACTTTAAGCTAGAAGTTTGCAGCTAAAACTTTGTGATCCCAACGAAAAAAGACGGTCATAAATTCTATGAAATTACTCCACAAAAAATAGAAGAACAACGGAAACAAGTTTAATAGTTGCCACCAACAGCAGCAGCAGCAGAGGCAGAGGCAGCAGCAGAGGCAGCGTCAGCGCAGGGGCTATCTAGGGCCACTTAGGGCGCCAGAGAGGGGTGGTGGCAGCAACTGATGGCAGCCGGCGCTGCATTCTGCTGTAGCTTAACAACATTTTGAGTTTTAGCTGCCATCAGCTGCAGCCGCAGCCACAAGAAACTGACTTGAGCTGAGCTGAGCTGAGCTGCCGGCGAGTAAAGTTTAAGTTTGTCATAAAATTGGCATGCATGGTGTGCATGGGTGTGCATGTGTGTGCGTGTGTGTGAGTGTGTGTGTGTGTGTGGAAACTTGTTAGGCCAACTGGCTGATGACTGCAGTCGCCTGATTACGCATACGCCGCGTGGCAGCAGTTCAAATCCAAGGAATGTGCATAAAATCAAATGTGCGAGAACAAGCACACACACTAAAAAGAATGAAAAAAAGAAGGGAAGAAAAAGAAGGAACTTTGTGTAGTGCACATTTATGGCGTGGGAAACAACAGAAAAAAATTCGCGACATGTTGTTGAATGAAAGAAGTTGAAATTAAAGCAAAGCACACAAAAAAAAAACAACAACAACGAAAACGAATACGAAGCACAAAGCAAAGAAAGCAGCGCAAACAGGGCAGCCGCAGCGGACGCTGCTCAGTCTGGGCGGCCGCGGCTGCGGCTTGAAGCTGTGCATGAATCATCGCGCCTGCATTTGCAGTGCCTGCCTTTTCGATAGGAAGAGGAAGACTGAGAGCGTGAGAGCGAGAGAGAGAGAGAGAGAGATAAACCGGTTTTGGCTCAGGAACGCAGATAACTTCTTGTGTCCCTGCGCACAGCCCGCCTGTCTTTGGCTCTCGATTGAGCTTCAAGTGAACCGCTCGAGGCTCTGCATATTTAATATTACACAAAGGTGATGCAGAGCAGACGCAACAGACAACGCCAATGGCATAATCCGCCAGCGGTCAACATTAATTTAGTGAAAACAACACACACACATGTACACTCGCACGCACGCACACACACACACACAGCTTGTCTGAGATGCACCACAAATTTTAATTAACCGAAACAATGGCGGCATCCTTGCATCAAAGGCAAAACAACATAATCATTGGCATTGCCCTCCCATCCGCAGCGTAACCGCAGCTCGCATTTGCAAGCGGACTCCAACGCTTGCCGGCTAAATGACCACGAAATTACCAAAGCCAGCGAGCTGAGGGGTCGATTGCGGCAGGTGGCAGGAGGCAGGGTTGCATTGGCCAGCGGACAGCGGGCAGAGGGCAGAGCGCAGAGTGCAGTGCGGGTCAGCTTGGGGGCAGCCACATGAGTGGGCAGCAGCCACTGCAGTTGGCAGAGAGTGCACTTTGGGCAAAATCCTGAACACCAGAAGCTGTCATTATACCTAAATATGCATTAAATAATTTATCAATATATGTATTTTTTTTAATGATTGATTGACTGATTGATTATTTAGCGATCGGTCTATAAGTGCATGCTAAGTCGGGCCTTTGGAAAACTCCATCCGTAAGTAAGCGAAAATCGGTTGGAAGAAACATTTTTAAGCTCCTTTCAGCTACAAAGATCTTTCACGCATCTCTATGAAAATTCAATTAAAACGCTTATCACACTTTTCGCAAATTCACGCTCTTGGGTGAAAAAGGGGGCCAAAGGTGAAGTAGGCGAAGTTTGGGGTTCAAACTCTTTTCCAAAAGCTACTTCTATATAGATATAGATACAGATATATCTATGTCTATATCTATATCTATATCTATATCTATATCTATATCTATATCTATATCTATATCTATATCTATATCTATATCTATATCTATATCTATATCTATATCTATATCTATATCTATATCTATATCTATATCTATGTCTATATCTATATCTATATCTATATCTATATCTATATCTATATCTATATCTATATCTATATCTGATTCACTTACGCTGTGGCAGCTTCCACAGAGATTTCACCTTGTCGCATTTGCATCACGAATGTCGCATTTATATTACGTATACGTTTCGCCAATCGATAGTTGTCATTGGGTCATTGGGACGCGGCTGCTGCTGCGCTGCGACTGCGGCTGCAGCTGCACGCCAAGGCCGCAGAAGTGGCGACAAATGGTCACCAAATTGGCAGACAACGAGCCTTGAAGCTGCCACAGGCGCCGCTTGCCGTTGCGTCATGTTGCCACTGAAAAAGGACGCCGAATATCTGCTCAAAGGAGTCCAATTGACGTCAACTTCACGTTGCGCACTCGACGAGCTGTTCGATGTGATAAATGATTTAAGCTGAGTGCTCAAAGAGCCATTCGAACTTTGACTCAATTAATTTATGAGTTTACAGATGAGTTTTGCTGCCAACTGCATTTAATTGCGTCACGTTACGCAAAAAAAAAAAAAAATTAATCAGAATGCAAACGTGCTATTCAATTGAGATCGAGACATGTGAGACGCGATAATGTGAAGATAGCAGTCGAAATATACAATTAATTATTAAAAAATATAAAAGTCTATAAACTTAATTGAGAGATCCATTCCCAAAGTATATATAACTTCGGACCCAAGCGTAGCATTTATCTAATAAGATTTGAAAAATGCCAATTTTCGGGACAGGATCAAATTTAGCCCGCATCTTGTATATGAAAATATCTACGACTCGCAATATTTTCAGCACAACGGGCAATAATCAATTTAATTAATTAATTCATTTAATTATTTACTTAAATATTTTATATATGAAACAAGAGAGCCAAAATCTGGCCTCAAGGATGTGAAAAACTTGGTTACTTGAACAGAAACTACAAAATGGAATTGATTTTATTTATTGCAATTGCCTTCCAGCGTTGCAAAACTCACCAAAGACGAGGCCTATCGATAAGTGTCACAGTTGATAGCTATCGATAGTCATTATCGGCTGTTTAAGGAAGTTTTAAAGAGATATTTGAAAACTTATTTAATAACTTGAATTAGTAAAATAAAAACTTAGCATTAGCTTAGCGGCCGCTGGCGTCAAACTGTCGTTTAATGATTTGCGATTGGAAATGCATTTGATTAAATATTGTCGCCCAGAGGTACAAACATATTTATGTATTTGCCCGTTGTTGACTGCGAAAGCAGTGCAAACAATTGGACTCAAAATTGCGAGCACAAGTGAGAGTGTACATTCGCATAAAAGTGCACGCGTATATTCATTTTTTGCGTGCTGCTGTTTTTAATGCAATTTGCTTTTATTGCAAATTTCACAGTGCAAATTGCAATTAGCGGCAATTTGCGAGCGCATTTGCATTGTGCGTACGGCACACGGAATCGCATGAGTCCGGCGGAGACAGTTGCCTCCCGGTCGCCCAATTGACCAGTTGACTGGCTGACTGAGTGACCCACTGGGCAAACAGTTGCAGTCGCAGCCGGAGTGCGTCTGAGTGCAGCACTCGTCGTGGCAGCTTACAGTTGGCCGTTTGCCGTTTGCTGTTTGCTGTTTATTTAATGAAAGTAAGTACACACTGGCTGCCACAAGCCGCAGCCGCGGACGCAGCCGCAGCCGTGGCCTGTGAGCAGCGAAAGTAGCTCACTCTCACAGCGAGTCGGCTGCCGGCTGCACTTAATGGCTTTATTTGCCATGAGTGACGGAGGGGGGGTGGGGAGGGGGGGGGAGTCTGCCACTTGGCAGCCCAACACTTGACAGTTGTGCAATAAAATTGCAAAATTATTGCGTCGACCACTGGACACTGCCCACATGGAATGGCGAGCGCTTACTCCGTCTCCATCTCCATCTCCGTCTCCGTCTCAGTCGTCCATTGCCACATGATTTATCAGCAAAAACTCACACGCTAATAGAATTTATATGGCGCTGCAGGATCAGCCCACACGCTCGCAAACACCACAGATAGTCACACACACACACACACACACATTCGCTGATTTGGTGTTG